ATGACGGATTTAATTAATTTGCAGGTGAATTTGAATTCCTCTTCGGTCGAACTGAATTCTCCGATGGAGCCCCCTTCAAACCAAAGTTTCCGCAGCAACAATTACGTACCTTCGTGGACAGACGATGATAAGGGTTAAACATTCGTGGGTTTCTTTTTTTTTTTTTTGTTTGTTGTGTCGTAAATGTTTTTTTCGAACATGGTTTCTTGATTGGGGTTTTAATTATAATTATTATCTGATTTGATTTATATATAATGTTGTAATAGATAATCGGCATGAAGAGGTCATACCCCTTCTCCTTAGAAAGTCCGCCGTTGTCGCAATGCAATTTTAATCCGAAGAATTATTCTAAATCGGACGAATTATTGGCTTCGTCTAGCGATAGTAGATATAAAGCTAATATCGAGCCAAGAAGCAAATGCGTGATCAGGTTCAATAACTATTTCTTGATTTGTTAATAAAATTATCGTTTTTCGTTATTCTTGAAAATTGACCGAATAACTTTTTTCTTCACAAAATTTGCAGAGAAGGCCCTTTGAACTCAAATTCACTGCCCGATCGTAACGTAAAAGACGTAAACCGAAAAAACGAGAGGCTAGATGGAGATTTTCTTACATTGGCTCCTCCGAATTTGAACTCGAAGCACGGATTATTCGAATATGAAAGTATTCCAATCGAGGTATTATTATATTCCGTTGAAAATTGCTCTCTTAACTAAACTCGAGTTAAAATTCTAATGCGTGTGTATGTATATTAGGAATATTCCAAAAGCTCGGACTCGTTTAGCTTCTTTCCAATTAAATTGCCGAACGATGAAACGACGAGACATTTGAGCATCGGGAGTAATAATGGCGAAAAGGGAGAGACGATTGATCTGAATTTAAAGCTGTAAAAAAGCTTTTGGTATCAAAAGTGATTTTTTTTTTACTGTGTTGTAAATCCCTTTTTTTTATAATTTATTTTAATTTAAAACTTTGAGAGAGAGATGCTTTTGATGTTAATGGTGTGTAATTTTCTGCCTCTGTTGTTTGTCGAGTTAACTCAGTGAGTTCAATTCTTGAATTTTTAATTTGAGTTTGATGAATTGGATAATATGGATATTGTCCTAAGAAATATAGATTATGCTTATGTTGGATTTCTTAAAAGGACCAAATCTTGAATCTTGATCATGTGATTTTATATATATATATATATATATACACATATATATAATTTGGTGGTTGAAGCCACCAAACGTTTGGTAGTTTGGAGGTTGTTTGCTTGGATTAAGGTTGTTGCTTGTCTATGTCTGGTTGACATAAATATATATGCAGGTGTCTAGTGTTTTTCTATTTTTCTTTTCGTATTGCTCGGTATAACTCACGCGGTCGTGTACAAACCGGTTGAGAAGATGATCCGGAATTGGGCCAATCGCGTTTTACGTATTATCGTAACACCTACTGATGTACCTCGTGGTTGGGTTGTACCTTCCTTAGGTATCAAATGTGATCACTAGAAGAAAATGCAAAATAGGCAACGATTTCTTTATCGACAAAATTAATTTCGTTGCCAATAGTTATATTTTAAAAACAAAATATAGTATTTGTGGCTAATGATTAACGTTTTTGTAACAAGATATTTTTATTGCCGTTGAATCGTAATTTTGATTAAATAACTATGTGTATATGTGTATGATTATGTGTAGATTTACAGTAAAAATCCACCAAGTATAAATAATCAGGTATAATATCTAGAATAATTACACAAAATCATATTCCTTACTTTCCATATATCTAATTAATGTGATAGATAGATAACAAATCAGAAAACAATTATAGTGAAGTTATAGCAATCGTACTGAAATCTTGTTCCTTAAAATTCCCATATTTAATATTCAAGTGACAGATAATACATTCCATATATAATTAGCAGATTTTTATTTAATTATATATAGCAACAAATTGTAATGAAATTTTAGCAATACATAATGAATATATGTTTATTGGCATCTATAAATTAGGACCCAAACTCACCATATTAAATTCATTCTACTACTATTTGGTTAAAAAAAAATATACAATGGCTTCTTGCAATAACACTCGTTTTATTTTCTTCTGTATCACTCTTGTTGCCCTCTTCATTTCTAGTGAATGTAAGTTTCGATTTGATTTTTTTCTATTATATATATTATTTCATTTTTAACGTTGGTTCATTTTAAAGTTCACGAAAGTTATTTTATACGTTGGGTACAGTTCACGTAGATTGATATCCAGTAAATAATCTTAATTATATTTTAGCCATCGATTACATAATCAAATTAGTTGTAAACACAATTTAGCCATCGAACAAATATTTCAATGGCTTGTTACAGTATTGCTCGTTTTATTTTTTTCTCTATGGTCATTGTCGCCCTCTTCATTCCTCATGAATGTAAGTTCCATTTTTATAAATTCTAAGAGACAGACTTTTTTAATTATTAGCTTAACTTGTTTCATCTTATGATACATCATGAAAAATCTTGTTTCACACATTTCGTGTATCGGTATTTTGCACACACCCGTCGATTTTTTCTATCATGTGTTGCATATATATATGTATATAACTATTGAATATTTTTTTTTTCAATTTAAATTCTACAGGTATTGATAATAGTAGCAGAAAAACGTTAGCAAAAGTTGCCGGACGAAAACGGCAGTCATTTGAGTGTGCTCTTGGCTATTGTCCACCTGGCTCAACTCCTGGTGAATGTTGGTGTTGTTCGTTTACCACACGCTGTTATACAAATTATCGGGAATGTGATGAAGATTGCTACTCGAAGAAACATTCCCGAAAAATCGTGTCTTGATTTCAATAACTAATTGTATCGCTCGAATTAAAATAAGTAATGAAATAAGTGCAATTTTTTTTATACGAATTATTCGTTCGATAATCACTTCTCTACTCTCTCTCTCTCTCTCTCTCTCTCTCTCTCTCTCTCTCTCTCTCTCTCTCTCTCTCTCTCTCTCTCTCTCTCTCTCTCTCTCTCCAATGCACTGTTCAAAATGATCTTTCTCTAGTCTCACAAGTTAGTTTGTGTCAATTGAACCGGGTTCAAATTTCTTTGTCAACGCTTAAGGTCATGCTTGCCACACATTATTTCTTTATTAGCCTAGTATGATTTACGTCTCTCATATTATCTGCAAGCTATAACTCCTATTTATATATTCATATTATCTATAAAATTTGAATTTCAAATATAACTTTATCCGTTCTCATATAAATCCATGAGGTATTCAAAGCGATACCACCCCATTTCTAAGGTTAATAAAATATGTAAGTTAGGAGGTTCGAATTAAACAGATCGAGCAAATAATTCGTAATTAAATTTTCGTAGTCGTAATGAAATTTTAATGGCTTAATTCCACTTTGCACCTTTGTAATATATCATTGTGGCATTGTGCACCTTCGAAAAAAATTAATAGCGCTTTGCACCCTCGAAACACAATAAATCATGCCCCCCAAATGAATTTTTAAAGCTAATAAATCTAATTTAATATTTTTGTGGCATTTTTTAGGATGACTAATGTCAAATATTTTTTTTTAATTCATCAATTATTTTGAAACTATAAACCAAATTAATAAAAATACATCTCATCAACATATTTAAAAATTATACTTTTTATCCCAAAAAAATATTTTACGAAAAAAAATCCTTCGGTTATTTCGTTATCAAGTTATCTGAAAATCATATTTTCTTCCAAATATTTTTACCTAATATTTCCACTAGCTACAATACAAAAAAATACATCAATTGAATAATTTAGTGATAAAAGTTTATTTTATTTTATTTTGTAAGATAATCCGGTGTTTTTTTCTCACTATGGGCGCTCGAAATTAGCTTGGAGGTTGAAGAAAATAATATTTATTTATTTATTTTGCATCTCCGATAAAAAAAACACCAATAAAAAATAAAATTGCCTTCATTATTCAATTCATGGCCCATTGTGAATGATTTATTGTGTTTTGAGGGTGCAAAGTGTTATTATTGTTTTTCAAGGGTGCAAAATGCCAAAATGCTCCATTTCAAGGGTGCAAAGTGGAATTAAGCCAAATCTTAATCATGAAATCTTATTCCTTACTAACATGTAAAACTCTATTTTAATCATGAATTATATCAGGCTTAACCTCTAGTACAAAATAATTCTCTCTAATTATTATTAATTTTTCCAATTTTACAATTCCTTGAAGGGGCATGCTAAATCCCACACTAAAATTTACTAAATCCCACACATAAATTAAAAAAAAAATCTCTCTCTACCCAAATTATCTCTAACTTATCTCTAAAATTATTTTATCCAACTCACTCAAAATTCATTAATTTCTTACGTGAATAATCATAAAAAATGAGTTCCGTTTTATTTAATATTTATTAAATTTCATTAAGCGTTTTTAAATATTCAAATTCATATCAATTCGAATATTTTCCTCAAATTCCAACTTTATTTTAGTTTTGAACATGTGGATTTTTATCAAATTCGAACTTGGAATGTTAGGGATGTTTTTAGTCTGTGATTTTGTGAAAAAAATTAGGGAAAAAGAAGGGTGGGAAAGGAGAAAAGAAGATTTTGGAGAGATAAATATTTTTAGTTGTGCATGATTTGGTAAAATAGTGTGGGATTTAGCATTTCAGTTCCTTGAAACATTGTGGTACTAAAAAAACCAAATACAAAACGAGATCTCCATATTTTTTATAAAATTCTTAGAGAAAGGCGAAAAAATTTGTTATTTGTTGAGTTTATTTTAGGGTAAATCACAAAAAATCCCATAACAAGGGCACTTAATTAAAAGAGGGACATCCAACTTTTTTGTCATTCAAACAAATTCGGCTCATTCAAACTTATTTGCAAATAAGGAAAATCCTTTTATATATACCAAAATTACTCCCAATTCATTGAAACCCAATTCAACTCCAATTTCAGGATTTACTCCCCAATTTAGCCCAATTTCTTCAATTAACCAATTTTAACCCTAATTTCAATTTTGACCCGCCACCACCGGAGACAGCCAGTCGCCGCCGTTGACCACCGTTGACCGCCGGTCTCTGGCGTTGACATTTTTTTTTTTTTTAATAATTTTGTTTGTTCTTAAAAAAAAAAATAATCAATATTACTATCTTGGCTGCTAAATTACTGTCTCCGACAGTTATTTAACTGTCGGAGACAGTAATTTAACTGTTAATTGACTTTTTTTTTTCTTCAAAAATATTTTAATTAATATTACTGTATTCGTTGCTACATTACTGTCTCCAGCAGTTATTTAACTGTCAGAGACAGCAATTTAACTGTTAGAGACAGCAATTTAACTGTTAATAGACTTTTTTATTCTTAAAAAAAATATTTTTAATTAATATTACTGTATTTGTTGCTAAATTAATGTCTTCAGCAGTTATTTAACTGTCGGAGACAGTAATTTAACTGTTAATTGACTTTTTATTCTTAAAAAAAATATTTTTTATTAATATTACTGTATTTGTTGCTAAATTACTGTCTCCAGCAGTTATTTAACTGTCGGGGATAGTAATTTAACTGTTAATTGACTTTTATTTTTATTTTTTAATTTTTTTTTCTTAAAAAAAATTATTTTTATTAATATTACTGCCTTGGCTGCTAAGTTACTGTCTCCAACAGTAATTTAACTGTCTTAGACAATAATATTAATAATATTACTGTTCGGGAAAATAATATTCATAATATTACTGTCCCAAACAATAATATTAATTAAAATATATTTTTTCTAAGAAAACAAAATTCAAAAAAAAAAAATTCAACACCGGTCTCCGGCGGTAAACGCCGGAATCTGGCCGGAAAAAAAAGTTTAGAAAAAAAATCATTTTCTGAAAAAAAAAATTGGGGGTTAATGTGATATATTTGTTTAAATTCGGGTTCAATGTGTAATATTAAAGAAGTTAGAGCATAATGGATGGAATTGATAAGAATTATATTATGGAGGGTATTTTAGACTAAAGACGTGGGGATGGGTTTAATTGAGAGACTTTTTTTTTTGTGGACCAAAATGCATTTAAGTCCCATGTGATGGACCTTTTTGCCATTCGCCCTTTATTTTATGCTACTTCAGGCAAGGTCTTATCTTATGAATAATGCATTTATACGGGGACTGTATTTATGAACAACGT